CCACTCCCTAGTCAGAGGCATTTACGGGTTTCCGTTTGCACTCACTGAAGTCGTTCCTGAGCAGCTGACACAGTCCACGCTACACTGCCTCCAGGTATGTGCCCGTTGATGCTATACACACCATCAATCAAAAGATGTCTCACTCTAGCCAGTAGTAGGGGAAGGGCTGGGACGGACTGGGTGAGGGAAGCTCAGAGAAGAATGGAATGGGCTCTGAAGAGGTGGAAAGCAGACAGAAAATTTCCTCCAATTCACAGGAGAACTAGACCTCAGGACTGTCCTGCCCAAGACTGAGGTGGACAGTCTGGGATTGGAGAGAACTCTGGGAGCACAGAAACCCCTGGAAGGATTGGAGGCGAAAGAACGGAACTCTAAGATTTCTGGATGCAACTGAAGGAAGTGGGATATTAGACTCAGAGGCTCATGATGACTGTCTTCAAATATTTAAAGTGGAAGAGAGTATTGGATTTGTTCTTTGTCACCCTGGAAGGCAGAACTACACCAATAATAGTGATGACAATACACTAATGTGTGGCATTAATTGAGGTGATGCCTATGCAAGGACTGGCCTTACTTTATAAGGAGTTCCTTAATCAATTCTCACCACAGCCCTCTGAAATAAGTAATGCATGCATCCTCCTTTACCCACTAGAAAATGACAAACTGAGGTACAAGAGCTTAGGGCCTTGCTCATGGTCACACTGCTAGCAATACAGAGAGCTAGGATCAGAGCCTTTGTCTGACCACCTCCAAGCCCATACTGGTAGTCAATGCACATCATCACATTGCGATTTAACATAAGGAAGAATATTCTCAAATAGAGGAAGGAGAAGTGAGCTCCTTGTTGCTGGAGGTGCTTAAGCTGAGATGGTGTCATTGCTCAGGGGAGGTTTGTGGGCACTTCTCACACCAGAGGTTTGACAGGGACATGGTCACGTGACTTCTCAATCCTATTCTAACTCTGAGATATCATGACTGCTGAGGAGCTTAGGGGTCGTGAGTCAACTTGTTCCAGAGGCCAGAAAGATCACAAACTCGTATACTCAGATATATTCTGTATGTATGCACTACATTCCAATAAGAGCCTATATGTGTATTGTCTACTCTGTTTCACAAACCTGCAGAAAATCAGATGGTAAACACTGAGAGACTTGTCTCAGAGGATGCGATTGTCAATGACTTACCTTGTATTTTCAAACAATATCCAGCCTTAGAGTAAAAAGTACCACAATTATTGGGAAAATCTTTTCTGCATAAAGAATCAACTCTTTTTATGTGTCAGAAACTGCTCCAGGCCTATAAGCACACTGCTTGATTTCCTCATTCCTGAATTGGGTGGTCCCGGGGGGAGAAATGGTGGGAAGGGGGAAATGGGTACAGATAGAAAGGTGTTCTGGCAGAGAATATACCAAGCATAGACCTCCTGGCCTCCAAGACTTGCCCGAGGCCCCCCTTCAATCATGGCTTCCTTTGGATCAGAGGGAAGGGAATTCCGTTTCCATATCTTGGTTGAATAACAGTAGCAATTAATATCTATGAGTCTGAACCTTTGGAAACTGCAGTATTTACAGGTTAAAATGACCAAATATAGCAATATAGAATAATACTAATAATACTAACAATTGAGGAAGGAAGGGGGCATTGAAGTTACTCATTAGTACTTGAATCTGCAAAGAATTCTAATTTTCTTATTTTCTTTCAAGGCCTCATTTCTTACTTGGTGACAGAAGGGTGGATGAGGGAGGGAGAGTGTGCTTTAATTTTTCGATTTAATGCAATTCTGGCTTCCCGATTTCAAACAGCTTCTTTTGTGTTAGCATAGTTTATTTTGGGAAAACAGTAGTCCTTTGGGATTTCTTCCTACTCCTCTTCTCTTTCTCTTTGTATAAGGGGGCCTGAGTTGAAGGGGAAGCTCATGTAACATCCTGGTGGAGGGCAAGGAGTTCTCAAGAGTGTCCCTCGGTCCTTTCTGGCCTCACCTGAGTGACGCCTCCTCTTTCCTGGTACTAAGCATCCTGCAGGTGTGTCTGCTGAAGGCTCCTGTGTACATCTGTGGACAAGGCCTCTGCCTCTGCCTGGAGGTCCCTGGATCTGGAGCCTCCTGTACTGACTGTCTTTCTTCTGATCTCCTGGTCTTTTCAGCATTGCTGAGGTCCCCAGAGGCTGGGAAACCTTCTGCCACTATCTCCCGCCCTGGCTCATTGTGCAAGGCTCTGGGTGGCTGCTTTTGTGCTCTCCCTCCATCTGTGCTTCTCTACTTGCTCCCAGTCTACACTGGACGATCTAGCCCCCAACGCAGGCCTTCTCCAAAGGCTTTCAGGCTTTTCAGGCAATGCCCAAGGACAGAGAAACCTGACCTCAGTATTCTAGTCATTTCTCAAACCTATAGAGAGTTTCTAACCACCTCCTCTCACTGCCACTCTCAAGGTTCTCCTGAGGGGTGGTGGACAAGGAAGCGAGGACCCTCCTCGGGCTGACCACTGCCCGTTCTCTCCTCTGTTCCTGATCCCTCCAATTCCCTTCTGGGTGGAAGGAGATCCCCATAATGTCAGGTCACCCTCTTTCCCCACTTTATGGAAGGTTTCTACTGATTTATTGATGCATTTCTACTTTATTGCATTATTGATGCATTTCTTTGGTCTAGGTGGAACTAAACTTACCTTTGCTCAGCACAGTAGGCCTTGGAGGTACAACAGGGTGTATTTCAGAAGGAGTATCCGCAATGTCTAAAGGGGCAAGGTAGGTGCCCATCACTTTACATGTATTCTTTGATTCAATCCTCCCAATAACCCAATCAACAAACTCGTTTTACAGCCGATACCACTCAGGCATAGAGGTGGAATGATTCGTCTGAGGTCACAGAGAACAAATTGGTGTTGCAAAACTGAGATTTAGACCCAGACTTCTCAGACTGTAAAATGCCAGGACCTCCCAATAGCTGTCATTATCACATGCCTAAAATATCGCTAATGCATCTATCACATACACATCACGCAAGTACACTTTTTGTGGGACCATATGTATTTATATGTTTCACAGAGTATAACTCAGAGGGAAAGAGGAACTTTGACTTTTGGGAATTTATGTCATATTTCAACTCAGAAGGTTCGATACCCCTGTCTTATCATCCTTTGATTTATTTCCTCTCCCCAGCCTCTGAAAGTCTCCTTTGACGTAGTGAGTCTCTGCAGACCATTGGTCGGGTCTGTTGTTGACAGGCCCAGATGTGAGTTGGAAGAGCTGGAGCCCCATGGAGTCAGGTTCCCCACATCCTGCCTTCTCTGTCCAGCTCGACAAAACCTATCACTGTGTCACGTTTCAGTCCCACAGTGAGTGTTGACTGAATGACTGGCTGGCTGAGAGAAGCCACAGGGCAGACGGATGCATCCGGCAATCAGAACTGGAGAGCACTGTTGTGGAGTCGAAATGATGGTGAACCATGAACCCTAGAGGCAGGTAGGAAGAGCAGCAGACTCCACAAATGTTGGCAGCTCCCACAGACCAGCTGATGGTCTGTGTGAGTCCAGAATGGAAAAGACTGTCACATGTTGGGTGCCTGGCCTGGACCTCACATCAGGCAGTGACTATTGCCCATTCTGACCATAAAGGTCAGTGATTAAGGCATGAGCACAGCACGGGTCTGACTGCTCTGGCATCTCACCATGCCAACCTCTCTGCACAGAGTGTGAGTTTGGAGAGACAGGGCCTGGGCAAGATCCTCCTGGCTGCCTTCGCTCACGAGGTCTAATTTAAGGCACAGGTGCCATGGTCGTTCAGGAACAGAACAGATCCTACAGATACGCAAGGCTGGTGTGCCAGACCTGGGTGTCATACGGTGCAACTAGATTGAGGCATCCATGGGAAGCATAGCTGTGTGGGCTCACAATACAGTTGACATTGGAATTGGTTTCTGAATAGTGAGAGAGTTTGACAGATAAAAAGTGGGAGAAGGTATCTCAAGGAACAGGAAACAGCAAATGCAGAGTTGTGAGAGTAGGAAGGTGTGTACGTGTGGGGTCCAGAGAATGCTTTGTTGTGAGGGTACATGTTCTTGGGAGAGAGTATTTCCTACTCCCAAATGCTCTTTTGGACTCCGACGTGATGGAAAATGTCTTCTCCCTTCTTGGTCCCTGACTGTTTCCCAGCCCCTCCCTTTGTGGGGCTGCCCTCTCACCTTGACTTATGCCTGTAGGCTCAGTCCACCTAATCCTTGGCACCAAGCACTGACCTTTCTATTTTAGAGAGGAGGGACCAAAACAGTGGAGCTCTGGTTTATTTCTGGATTCTACCTGTAGTTTTCTCCCCAAAGACTGGTCCTCATAGACTCGTGAGGGTGCTGCCTAGTTTTACTAATCTCTCTCCAAACATTTGAGTCCTTTTCTGGAATTTTAGCTCAATAACTGGGACCTGCCACATGCTGTAATACTTCCCTGGTGTAGGCTGCCTCTAAGTTGATCCATTATTTGTTTAGAAAGGCTACTTCTTTCACTATTCTCTGAAAAAATCCTAATTATTTATAGTTCCCGAAATTGCTTCTCTCTCTGTTCATTGGCATTGAAGCTTTCTCTCATTTACTCCTGTTTATACTCTATGCTCTAATTTATTAGTTCTAAGCCCAGTCCCTTGCATTCTCCTTACTGTCAACATAGGGGTAGTTTTCATTCATTCTCATTCATTCAGTACATATTTATTGAACACCCATTGTGTTCTAGGCCCTGGGAATATAGTGGTAAGCAAGACAAAGTCTCTGCCATCATGGAGCTTAAGTTTTAGTGAAATAAAACTGATAATACCCAAATAAAGAAATCAACAGCCAAGATTTTTTTTAAAAGATTTTATTTTTCCCTTTTTCTCCCCAAAGCCCATCGGTACATAGTTGTATATTTTTCCTTGTGGGTCCCTCTAGTTGTGGCATGTGGGATGCCGCCTCAGCGTGGTTTGATGAGCAATGCCATGTCTGGGCCCAGGATTCGAACCAACGAAACACTGGGCCACCTGCAGCGGAGCGCGCGAACTTAACCACTCAGCCATGAGGCCAGCCCTAACAGGTAAAAGTTTTAAAAACTGTGAGATGTACTAGGAAAGAAAAGTTTGATCGACAGAGAATCTGACAGGGGGCAGATGAGGTGAGAGTGGAATGACATCTCAGGGATGTGCCAATAAAAAGATCACCTAAATGATGAAACTAGCCACGGAAAGTACATTTCAAAGAGTAGGAATAGCAAAAGCAAAGGCCACTTGGTGGAAAAAAAAGCTTGGAGGCTCACAAGAGGGAGAAGTATGAGATGAGACAGGATAGTAAGACAGGCGCCCAATCTTGGAGTGCAAGGCAAGGTATTGGATTTTATTCTAGGGGTGTTCTCTGTTGAACCATACTATGTGGAATCTGTGTTAGTTAGGATGGATTAATAACAAATGATTGCATTGAAAGATCCAAAGAATATGCTTCTAGGATGGAGGCTTCAATGAGGGGAAGAGCCGAATTCAGAGACAGAAGCTCCCCATGCTTCTCGTAGTTTTCAAGGGGCTACAGAGAGATGGCTAATTAATCATCTTAAATGTCCATTATCAAGTCAAATCTGTGAAACTATCCAGAGGATAGAAGTTGCTACCAACCCTTTGACCTGGCAGCATTATGTTCTCTCTTGAGAAGGTGTGAGTGTGTGTGTGTATGTGTGTGTGCAGGGATCATGAAATGTATGCCAGGCTAGACTCCTCATTTCTTTTCATTTTAAAGTTCACATAACACACCGAGTGGGCACCTTTGAGATGTCAGCTCTGGCTAGGAAGTAGTGAGATTGCAAACAGGGAAAATGTGTCAATAGGTCACCAAGACAAACTACCTTCGGAACAAAGGTATTCACCTTTTCCTGCAGGTCTCTGCCGTGGATGGATGAACGCCAACCATTTCATTCAAATTTTATTTAAGAAATGTTTTTACTCTTAAAAAGTTATAATTAACAATGCTGGCATAAATTTGTTTTGTATCAGAAATTCATTCACTGGAGACAGCACCCACTCATCAGTGTCAGCTGCCATGTCCATTTGCTATGCCAACTTGAGGTAAAGCTTCTCTTGCCATCTCGGTTGAACTGGACCATTTTCTGAGCCCACAAGACCTATTGACTTAAAAAGTTATTATTTGTAAATACTTACCTATCCAAATAGAAATTTTCTCAATCTGTTGCAACCAGAAATACAATGGATTCTGAGGCTAATATAAGACAGCAACTGTCCTCCATCACTCTTAGCTTAAAATACTTAAATAGTCTCATTGTCTTTATTAATTGACTTTTTACATTTTATAAATACTGAAGCACTAATAAAGAACCATTAACTGCTCTGTACAGGAGGGCCTCCTCCGGTCTTTACACGTCAATACCTTTATGCCTGCCTTTGACAGTTGTCACAGTTTCAACAACTACATATACATATGTACAAGCATATAGAGAAACACATACCTATATATACACATACACATATACATCTGTATTTAACTGTTCATTACAAAAGCTTTTTGGGAGCATTCACTCATTCAGTCTATTGACGGATATTTGAGTCTCTACCAGGTGCCAGACACTATTCCAGGCAGTAGGAATACAGCAGTCAACAAAACAGACATATCTCTGCCTTCATAGAGTTTCCATTTTTGTGGCGGGAGACAGATAATAAAGAAAAGACATCAGTAAAATATATAAAATGTTAGATGATGATATGTGTTAAGGGAGAAAGAAAAGCTGGGAAGGGATAGAGAGAGTGTGGGGGAGGTGGGTGGTGGTTGTGAGTTAGATAATGGCCAGACAGACAAGCTGAGATTTGACCAAGCCCTGAGAGGTGAGGGAGCAGGCCTTGCAGGCAGAAGCAACAGCCAGGAGTAAGTGAACACAAGGAAGAATACATATATGTGTCATCAAAATATAAAGTACAGAAGCATAGGGAGTAAAAAGTGGAAGTTCTTGACACCCAATCGCAACCTAATTCCCTCCCAGGGCGAGAGTGGAGACAGTTAATGTGTCTCCTTCCAGGCCATCTTTGCACATTTTTAGAAAACCAAATACTAAATACATTGTCTAGTGGATTGCTTTTCTGTTCAATTCACAGTATCTCACAACATTCTTTATCAATATGAACATAGTCCACTAATTTTAATAGTTCTGTGGTATTCTGTTGGATGCATGCACCATATTTTGCTTGGCTATTTTCCTATTTTTGGACCTTTCAGTTGTTTCTCATAAGTATTAAAAAATGTTGCGCTAAATGTCCTTGTACGTTTTTTGAGTGCTTATGGGTGTATATCTGTAGGATAGATTCCTTCTTTATCCAAAACTTTCACGAGAAGTTATTTCCCCAATTAAAAACTTTTAAATGAATTTCGTTATGAATTACATGTTTTGATTAATGCCATTTTGCTAAATCCAGAAAATCATTTTAATAAAAGGTTAGGGAAAAACTCCTCTAGTGTTCTTTTTATACCTCCCTGCCTTTTGCCATATGCCCAAAAAAAAAAAAATTTTTTTTAATGATTTTCTTGCCAGTAACTGCTTTTGGCATAGCCAGAAGCTGAACATCACAGTGGGGGCGGAAAGGAGCGTTTTGCTCCAAATTGTGTAATTTGGCAAACTGTCCTACTATGGTAGTCATGTTTTTGCAAGATTCAGTGAACTTTCTAAAGACTGCCTCTCCATCAACAGTTTGCTGCTGCAAACCATGAGAGTGTGGCCGCCCTTCTCCCCTTGACCCCCTCCCCTCTCCCCTGCAGGTGGAGGCTCTGTGGAGCTCATTTGTTCAGATCCCTGGGGAGTTCTCCTGCTCAGTGTTGTAGGTCTTGCTCGTTCTTTATTCCTTCTTGCATTTAAACCCTTTCCCCTTCTAACAAGTTGCCTCAAATATGATAACAGAAGGCCAATGAGGAGTTCATTCCCAAACTATACTTGTATGTGTGTGTATGTATAGACCGTGAATGTGCGCTTCCTGGATGACTGATGAAATGCCATTCCATTTCTGTCTAAAGGGGTAAGAATGATCAACAGCAGCAAATATTCTTCAGCATTTACTTTGTGCTGGGCACTGTCCTAAGCCCTCATCTTTTTGTTTCGTTCTAGTAACAACCCTACAGAGTAGGAACCATCCTCCCCATTTTACATGTGGGAAGATCAGGAATGCGAAAGGACTTCCCAAAGTACACACAACTAAAAGGTGGGAGGTCTGGGATTTGAAGCCAGGTCTTTTGGACTCTGGAGTCCCACAGTCTTGACCACTGTGCCCCATTTCCTGTCTAGGCCATGTCTGAGGGCCTTTCACGTTGATGGAGCTTCTTCTCTACTACTCCTCTGGTGCAAGTCAAAGTCATGGCCATGGGCCAGTGCTAGGTTTGAAAGAAACAGAAAGATATCTTGAGGGTGCTTGTGATGCTGCTAGTGATAACCATGACTCACCTTCCAAGACAGACCTCCTATGTGTGGTGGAGGACACAAACAGATTTAGACTGAGAGACCTGACTTACAATACTGTCACTTCGTGAGCACTATGGCATTTCTTGGGTTTCTTAACTTGGAAAATGATGACAGTAATAACTCCCTTATAGAATGTTGTGAGGGTGAGACACTATGTGGAAATGCACCCACTAAGGATATTTTTTTTTTTATTATTTATTATTATTCTTCCAAGAGAAGCAAAGACAATACAAATTTCTATGAGAAGAAACATCACGAGTCTCAGTTCCTAATTGAAAACATGCAAGAGTTTCTGGGAATTACAACATGGCTGAACCTTGAAAACATTATGCTAAGTGAACGAAGACAATCACGAAAGGCCACATATTGGATGATTCTATTTATATCAAGTGTCTGGAACAGGCAAATCTAGACAGACAGAAAGTATTTCATCGGTTGCCTAGGGCTGGGAGGTTTTGGGGGAAGCAGAGAGTGACCACTAATGGGTGTGGAATTTCTTTTTGGGGTGATAAAAATATTCTAATACTGATGGTGGTGATGCTTGCGCAACTCTGTGAACACAATAAAAATTACTGAATTGTATGATTTAAGTAGGTGAATTATAAGGTATTGGAATTATAGTTAAGTAAAAAAGTTTCCATTAAAAATAAGTTTCTCGTGTATGTTTAGTTAAAAGAAATTGAGAGATACCACAGTTTATCAAGGGTGTTTATATTGAATGCATTTCTCCAAAAAGATATGTGCTGCCTCTTTCTTACCAAGACACTTAGAAGCATCAAAAAACAAAAGTATAAAGTTAAAAAAAATGTCTAAAGGAAAAACAAACCCAGGAAGAGAAGCTAGACAGAAAAGTAGAAAGCTGGGAGTGAAGCTGCCTATAAGTCTCCACGTAGCCTGACTCACACTCAGCAGGGCATGCATTTTGAGTTGTTTATTATAGGACGATGGATCTGCTGTGATTCATCCACACTGTCCTGTGGAGGATCCATGTGACAAAATGGGCTCCATGAAAAAGAAACTTGACCTTGCCCCACAGGCCACACAGATGCGCATGTGGCAAGATGCCGAGGGAAGATGAGGACAATTTGGTGCTTGTGGAATCAAAGCATGGCGTCTGAATCCCAGTGAAGCCATCTATCAAGGTCCAGCTCTAGGTATTCAGCCCACAGCAGGTATAACATCCGCCAAAATATGAGAAGATGCAGAAGTAACTTGGTCATAAATGTCTTGTCTCTTGTTTCTGAAAAGAGAAAATATCTATAAAAGTGCCTGGCTCAAGTTAGGACCTTAATGGATTTTGTGGAAAGTACTGTTGTTGGAACTAACCCAGCCATAAAAGACCTCATCTCCCTCCATGACTTTTCGGTAATTAGTCAATTCATTGGAAAAAAAGAACTGACCTGCTTTCCTGACATAATAATTTTTATTTTTGGTGGTGCCTTACAGTTTATAGAGTGCTCCCATGTCAATAGCTCATTTGATTTTTGAAGAGCACTGTGGAGGCATAGAATGCTAGAGAGCAGAGTCAGAGATGGCCGGTGGTTTTCAAGGTCACTTGACCAGGGCAGAGAACGACCCAAGTCCAGTCTTCTTCCCAGGACAGGTGAGCTGAAATTACTTGGCCTAGTTAGTCAATTTAATTTTTCAATGTTTCAAGGGATTATATTGATGCTACTTAGCATCAAAGAGAGTGTTGTTGGTAAAAACATCAGATATGGCAAGGATGGGAGTTGGCCAACCAGGCCACCACTTCTTGAGGCCAAAATGAAGCAGTGAACTAAGCCTAAGGACAGAGAATCCGGTGCCTGTTGGGAAAGGAGCTTAACAAGATGGTTAAGAGCACAGGTTTGGAATCACCTTCTAGTTCCATCACAGTTTCATCACCTATAAACTGGGGGCAACATTACTATTGTACAAGATCGATGCAAGGGTTGAGTGTGCTACTGTTTGTGAAGTGTTCAGCAGAGTGCCAGGCACAGAGTAAGTGCTCATTAAAGGCTCCTTTTTATTGCCCATTTTCTTCTCCTACTTCTTCTTATTTTATCTTCTCCTTGTCATCCTCCTCACTGTCATCTGCTCAGGAGAGTGCAGGGTCATCTCACAACAACTGAGAATTTAGACCACTTGAGAGGAGGCATAGAGATACCTGTGGGATTCAGTGTCAGCTGACATGTGAAGGGAAGTTGAGTTCCTTTTAGCTTAATCTTTGAAAGCCAAAGCCATTCTGGTTAAGCTTGTTCTGCCCTTTCTCCAAATGCAATTCATCCATTCATACACTCATTTTTTTCTCACTATCATTTGTTGAGCCTCAACCATGCTCTATATTTAAAGCCCAGGCAGCCCGACCACTGAGACATGACCATCCACTGAGCTGGAGAGAGTGGGTGCCAGGTCACGGAACTATGGGTCAGACATGCCCAGGAAGAATTTGGCCTGGAAGGCAGGCTGGGCTTGGGGTGGACCAGCGAGAGAGCATGTAGGGCCAGAGGTCTAGGTGGTGATATGAGAAATGGGACAGAAGTTTGTGTGGGTCCCAAAGGCAGAACTGCAATCACCATCCAAGTTATCCAGCTGAACCACAAGGTATGACCACGGACTAACCTCCCCACAGGCTGGATGAGGTTAGAATTCAGAGGTCCACACAGGGCAGCAAGCACAGGCAGAGGTGTGATGAAGGCGGGTGTCCAGCGGTCAAGGCCTCGGTCTCAGAGGCTGAGATGACAGACACCTGTCTGGTTTCAACCTTGTGATCTGAGCACCTAGACACGGAACTACTCTGAGAGGATGAGACATGGGTTCAGATCTGGGAGAGGTGAGTGGCCCACCCAACCTCCCGCCACACACTAATCTCCAGGCAGGCCCAAGCTAGCAGATAGGTGCTTGTCCTCTGGGCAAAGCAGTGGCCTTCAGAGACTAGAGCTGCAGTAGAGGGTCCTAAACGGGATCCCATTAGCTTTCGATTGCCCAAATTTATTCTTGATCTTCTTAAGATCAATAAAAGGTTCAAGTTGGGAATCTCTTTTGGTTTTTCAACCTCTGCAGGAGTTATTGACCCATCAATCAACTCTGTCAATCACCAGAGGCTCATTTGACACCAGGAACCAATCACTGCCACTGTTGGTGACCCCTCTGCATGGCCCAAACATCCATCCTCATCTTCTGCTAAATCTTTGGCGCGTACCTGTGCAACTCGGCGAAATATGTCTTTGTAGTTTGTCTGGTTTAAACCAGTGCTTGCTGTAGGTGAATGTTGATTGCAAATTTGGGCCTTGCAAGTAATGTTAATGGTGTGCTATTGGGAAGAGTGGAAAATGCCATTGGAGAGATAAGTTAAGAGTGAGGAAAAGGCAGCTTAGTGGAAAGAGCACTGAGTCAGGATTTCAGAGATTTGAATTCGTCTTTGCTCTACTATTAACAGGACTGTAACCTGGATTGGTCTCAGTGTCATTGACTGTTGAAAAGGAATGATACTTGAGTTCTTTATTTGACTGTTACAATGATCTAATGAGATAAACATGTAGAAATGTTTTGGAAACGAAAAAGTGCTTAGTTCTTCTATTCAAAAGAATTTGCCAAGAGCAGCATATCGGTTGCTAACTCAGTGTAGCAGCCAGGGGAGGGCAGACAGATAAGAAGGACAAGCAGAGCTGGCGTCCCCCAGGGTCTCTGCTGCCTAGAGGGTGAGGCTGGGCCTCCGCTGTCATAAGAGGTGGTAGCAGAGTGCGGAGGAAGAAGGAGAGGAGCAGGGTCCGGAGCCCTGGAGAGAAACTGAGGCAGGAAGAAGGTAGCTCCCTCAGTTTCAATAGGCAAAGATTATGCGCTGGAAGCCAGACTGCAGGGATCAGGAGCCACTGCCAGGAGTCTGGAAAACAGAGGACCAGAGGTTCAGAAAGGCTGATGGCCAAAGAACTGGCCAGTCACCCTGGCAGACCCCAGGGTGCAGCCAGCCTGAATGGAGCCCAGGCGTTTTCAAGATGTCTTCCCCTTACCAGACCAGATGAAAAAGACCACTGAGGAGACACTTAAGCAAGCTCTAAGTAAGTGTAACATAGTGTTTTTTTCAAACTTGGGTGTGCATCAGAGTCAGCTGGAGGGCTTCTTAAGGCCCAGCTAGCTGGGCCTCACTCTGAAGTTTCTGATTCAGTAGGTCTGGGTGGGGCCCCTCTCTGGAGCATTTGCATGTCTAACGAGTTCCCAGGTGCAGCCATCTGCTGGTCTGGGGACGACACTTAGAGAACCGAGCACGCTGTGGCAGTTGTTATGCGTTCTTGACCCATGAAAGAAAACGTAAGCAGAGGAAGCATGTCAGAAGCGTCCAGCTTCCTCCTTGCCGCAGCAGGTGTTCTAAGCTGGCTCCAGGGCAAGCGCAGACCCACCCAGGGGCACCCACCAGGCTAGGATCCCTGGCATGGGCAGTGCTGCTGCTGTCTTCTCCATCTCTTGTTAATCTTGAGCATGGATGGACCCTTTCCCAGGGCACCCAGTGTCCCCTCCACTTTCCCTCAGAGACTTAGGGATGCTCAGAACAGGCTAGAACTGCTGCTTATGGACACAAACAGTTTGGGGGCATTTTTCATTTTTGAAATATTTGCGAGTGGAAAAACATCTGCTGTATCACGCTGAACCTCTTCCCTCGTGGTTTGTCTGACTTTCGTCCAGGCTTGGGAGCGGCTGTGATGACCAGGTTACATATTCTCCCTTTCTGTGATTCTCCTGCACCAGTTGTGCGCCCTAAACTGGGAAAAGTTGAGGTGGCCAGTTTACTCTCCATTCTGCATAGACTTGTCTTTGCGTAGTCTTAGCCATATGACTGGATAATGCAGGGGGGCTCCTCCTCCCCCTACCCCTCTTTCCTCTTCCCCCCGCCATGAAGACACATGCAAGCCCTACACTCTTCATTCCCTGTTTTCTAAATGCTCTGGTGGTGGGCAGAGAGATTGAGTAGAGTATAAGGAGAAGTAAATTGTCACTCAAGCATACAGGGTGGAGTGGGGTTGGCCATGGCTAGGATGGGGAGGTTTCTCTAAACTGGTGTTTCCTAACTCTGGCTGCGTGTTAGAATCACCTCGGAGCTTTTTCTAACCACTCAGGTTAGAGTGCATCTAACCAGATGCTCAGGACATGAGATGCTGATTTAAATTGATTTGGGATGGGACCCTTGGCGTTGGAAAATTTGAGTCTCCTCAGGGGATTGTAATGTGTAGCCAAGCCTGAGACTCGCTGTTCTAAAGCAATTTTTCTTGACAACACCTGGGTGCTGAGCACAGCTGCATTTTTGTGTGACTTCCTTTCAACAACCACAAGCCATCTTAAGGCGGGCTGGAGGCTGCCACCTCTGGGGTAGGTTAGAAGTCAACGTCACAACCCTAAGTTTAGACAGGTAAGAGTGGGAAGGAGGGATCTTAAGACCAGGTGGGCAAAACCAAAACTGTAGGTTCAGAGAGCAGCCATAAGTCCCCAGGCTGAGGACAGCAGAGGCTCGGACAATTCGGGAGCACGAGCCAAAGATTTCAGAGCGGAGAGAGCAAACTACCAGGGTCAGGTTATCCCAGGCCCATGGGCTGAGCACAGGGATAAAGCTTGATCCTAGAGCCAACAGCAGCCCAAGTCACGAGCTCTGTAAGTCCCACGTCCTGGGCCGGAAGTGGGTGAGTGGGGCTGAATTCACCTGGGTGTCCACAGCCAGGGTATGAAATATGGGAAGCTGGGAGGGTCTTGAAAGGAGGGAGATGAAAAGTAAAAAGTGCAGAGGAAATTGTTCAGTCTACGTAGTGCTCAACACCCAGTTGCATTGCTGTTTTTCCACCAAACTGACCAAATATTCCTGACATTGGATAGATACTGCCTGAGACAACGGGAATCGAAACATGACATTCTCTCAGAGCAGTGCTCCTTAAACTTTACCAGCTCAAATGAATTCCCCGAGGGTCTGGTTAAAATGGTGACTCTAATTCAGTAGAACTGGAGTGGGGATTGAGGGGCCTGGCACTCTGCATTTCCAACAGTCCCCCATCACATGCGGATCTGAGGACCATTTCTGAATAGCAAGGACTTAGAGGCCAGGGATGGTGTCTACTTAAAGTGCATTGATGAACACCTTGCAGAGACCTGTCGAGTCACTATTGACATGGAGGTTGACACATGCTTTTCCTCTTTTCTCAGGTCATTTTAGGGAGTCTATGGTTTTTGCAGAAGAGGCCCATTCCCTGAGAAAAGTAACTTTCTCAAGACAGGAGTATGAGGACAGCATCCTAATATCAACAGTGTCTATTTCTCTTCACCCCCTCTCCTTCCCCACATCCATCCCATTGGAAAGACTGACAGTCTACAGACTGAGCCAGGCATGAGTTCACCTACTGAAGCAAGAACCACAAATAAGTAACCTGTTACCTGGGAAGAGAGCAGCAATTCTTTCATAAACGAATGTCAATGAGGTGTAATTTTCTGCTGTAGCAGAATTTCTACACCTGACAGTATTCTTAATATACTTTAATTAAGAGGTTAATCTGTTGTAGAAATTGCTTTTCTCTGAAGCCACCTGAAATCAATTTAAACTCAATTACAAGTGGTTAGCTATTGTTTATGTGGTTAAAGATTAGAGAATACATTTTTGCTTGTCGGGAGCCATCCGAGCAAATTTTGAATGTCATGATCAGAGGAGAGTCTGAATAGTTGAGTGCTCTTTAATGGGCATAGAGAAACCATTAGAAATGTAATCAGTCAAATTTGATGACTTGACCTTGGGACGCAGTAGAAGAGGGTCTAATCATGTCTGTCCCATAAGTGCCACCAGGATGGCTCTGCTGAAATTAATTGATCATTACGTGTTTTCTGAGAGCCTAATATACCCTATTTGATGGAATATAAATTGCAAAAATAATCTGTAAATTATATAACAAGCTTCAGAATACATTTACCCTCAGTCTCTTTAGCACAGATTAAATCTGACAGCTAGTTTCAAAATGATCAAAATTGCTTAACTCCTCCAATAGTTTGGAATGCTTGAGTTTTACAAAGAAAAAAAAATCTATTTCACGACATGTGCCTAGTCTATAAATTTGAATTACAATCCATTTTCCATCAATAAAATGTAGCGACAAAAAGAGGTCTGAAAAGGTTTTCTGGGGCTTGAATGCATTATTTTATTCAATTGCTTAGCAAGGTACTTAGCTGCTATTAAAAATCTGGATGCATGTCAGAAACAAGGAAGCTGTTTTGAATCCCATTCACTTCCGTGCTAAATATATGAAAGAATTAACATGCCTCTAATAGGCCAGCCAGCTTGCTACTGTGATATCCTATAGTCTGGTTGAGAGATACACAAGGACAGTGCTCTCCATTGGTTATCAGCAGGTTAAAGGTTTCTTGCCATCTTTTCAGGTGTCATAATGATGAATCCAATGATCTCTGTTTATGTGTATTCTTCTGGGATCGAGACATTCTGCCATTAGAGTGTACACATTCCATGACATTTTGGTTAAAGTTGCAGAAAGTTCTTCCTCTAGAACTCTTTCTCCCCCCAGAGAATTATTTAAAAATTTTTCCTTTGGGCTGACACTTTTCATATTTGAAATAAACCTTCCAGGATTTTCTTCCATAAATGTTGAATGGTTCACTGTTGAGTTGAAGACCATCTGTTCCTGCCTAATTGGCATAATGAGGGAAGACCAGAGTTTTGGAGCCTGAAAAATAACGTGTGATGAAGTAGGCTCAGAGGAGTGTTTTGCATAAGAGACTGGGGCAGCTCCCAAGATGCCAGGACAGCGGTAGGTTTTTCTGGGAACTGGACCTTTGGAAGCTAATTTCTCTTGGGAGTTGAGTGAGGGGTGAAGTTCAGCAATAGGGACCATATTTATCATCTTAGGGATCTGGGTCAGACTACAAGGGTTCAAATTCTGGCTCTATCACTTACTTATTGTGAGCCTTTGAGCAGACTTCTTAGCTTCTTAGAGCCTCAGTTCCCTGAACTGTAAAGTGGGGATAATAATGAAGATCAAATGCAGTGGTGTGTGTAAAATACTCAGTAGAGAATCGGGCACGTACACTTACTAAGCTCTTCATCATAATTAAGCAAAGCACAAAATGATTTGGTGTCTCTCTTTACTTAGCCCTAAATAGGGGTGCATGATTTAAGAAAGAATTTTTTTTCCTGCCTTGTGAAATTTTCAGTGTGAAAAGTCTTACAAGGATACCAAAATGAAGCTGTATTTGATTTTTCGTTTCACAGACACACCTTATGACACCTCCTGTAGTGAGGAAGGGGGTGTGGGATAGGAAAGATTTTCAAGACAAGCTCTGCACTGGGAGGCAGGGCCTAAGTTATAGTCTCAGAAGAGCCATAACCCAGCTGTGTGAGGCTGAGAGCAACAAGTCCCCCCTTCTCTGGGCTCAGCTGATTTGTGTAAAATGACAGGGTTGAACAGACGACTGCTGAGGTTGTGTGGAGCACTGGGATTCCATGGTTTTATATTGCTGGCCATCTCTGTAAGAACATTTCCTGCTCCACACCCAGGACACAGTTGGAGGGTGGACACAGACAGGGTAGTCTGAGCAGTGTGGTGACCCCCACATCTGTGGCTTTGAGCCTCATGCCACGTGACCCCTCTGCTCATGGCACACGTTGTCCCACACGGGTGGCCACATGTGGGTGGTCATTCACTAACGCAGGGTTACACAGCCTTTAAAAATTATGTCTCCCTTTGAGAAACATAAAACAAAAATTGTATACTTCCTCAATTCACTCCATTCTGGGAGATACTAATAAGCCTCGTCCACATCCCCCACTACCCTTCACTACTTTATGTCTTGGGGAGTGTCTGCTCTCTCCCACCTCGTCCCACCTTTGCCCAAACGTCCGCCTTCAGCAGAGGTCATAAAAGGGCATCCTGAGGAATAGATGCAGCCCACAGATGACCTTATTTGTACCCCCCAAAATAATTTTTACAACTGGAGCTAGTTCCCAGCACTTAAAAATCACACTTCACATAAAACCTAGTTTTCTAGCTTCTTTTGAAAAAATAACAAAGAGGAAAATATG